AGCATGAAGAACCTTGGTACTTTGTTTAATGAGAAACTTCCTGTGTGTGACAAGGCTGGCAGCCAATCAGAACACCACACTAGCAATTCAAACCAACAGGCCAAGACAAAGGCCGATGAGCGAGCTGGGAAACAGAGGTTCTGACCAATGGGAGAGCAGCAGGCAAGTAGTTTAACATGTGCAACCCAACACACACCTGTGTGTGATTTCATGTGTGAGCAGAGAGGAAACATGTAGACTGAGGTATTTTTGGACCATACAGAATCTAGAGAAGTGGACTGTGCTGCAGCAGGAGTCTGAGAGGTTTCTGTGGATGTTTCATACTTTATACCCCTCGCTGTGAAAAGTGCTCACCTTTACTAGAAACAAGGTGAAACCCCAGTCATGGCGCTCTGTAAAGGAAGCTACAGCCACACATCTGGTCTACAGCAGGTGAGTGCCTGATACTCAGAGATGGAACCAGAACTGTTATGTGGTGTACATGCATTTCCCATCATGGTCAACCTTTGTTTTACTGGTCAATGTTATGAATTTAGGAGAATGACAAGTCACTACCTTTCAGGTGTAGACAGGCTGCATTAACACTGATGTTCCAGGAATTAAAACTCACCAACTCCTGCCGCTGTCTGTAGTAAGACAGTTTAAACAGCAGGCTCATACAAGTCAACTGTAAATTGAGAAGGAGACTTCCACTTTTCTCTGCTAGCTACAGACTAAAATACCAGGAGTTCTGACTCCTAGCCATAGCAGCTGAATGGTTAGTCATCCAGCAGCTTCAGAGTCAAAGAGATGTTTCCTGCTAGCAACACTCAGACATATGCAGACAACAACCTGTCCTACAAACCACAGTATGCATCCAACACTAGGACACAACACTAATCTGCCATTTAGTTGCTCAATTAATTGATTTTATTTAATTTACTGTCATTTATCTAGAGAACAGGACATGTTCATTACATTTTCCAGGGATCTTTAATTATCTTCAAACAGCCTAAAAATATTACATTTGCATTGATTAAAAAGGAGGATTAACCCCCCCCCTCACATTTGAGAACCAGGAAATTTGCACTTTGCTTGGAAAATTCATTATGTCTTGTCCAAATAGCTGCCGACTCTTCCAACAACATATACGGTGGCTTCAGACCGCTTCACAATCTGCACGTCACTGTGTTGTAGATAAAGACGTGAGAATTTTGGAACCGTTTTTAATGTCAATTAAAAATATCCTGAGGTTAAACAAACACTTGGATTAATATGTCAGCATGCAGAGTATTTTGTATTATGGTATTTGTGCAATGTAGGACAGTAAAATCTTACTTTACTGCCCATTCTTCTGTGGCTAAATGTAAAGTACTTGTCCACTTTTCATCCCACTGCTGAGTGTAAACAAACAAGCTGCCAGGTACACACACATTCTTCAGCTTATGGTAAGTAAATGTTATGAGACGGCTCCCTACGTACACACACATACCAAACGTACACCTCAGTGAGCTTAACCCACACTGACGTCTGGAACCACCACCTCTAATAACCTGCAGTGTGTGTGTGTGTATGCTAGTGTCAGTGCAGTGTGTGTGTGTTTACCTGATGATCTTGACCAGCTCGCTCATGTTGACATGGTCTGGTACCAGGAACTTGGTCTTGTCCAGGACGGGTAGCTGCTTCTCTCCCTTATATCTCTCAATGATCACCTGCAGCAGGTGGACAAAACAAACACTGCAGGTCAGCCTGTCTCCACAGAGCAGCTGCTTCACTGGGTACAAGTCAAGTTCTGGACCCAAATACAACTTAGAGATACTTGTGCATTTCCAATGTTTCCCATACACTGACTTGTTTGTGGTGGGCTTCCACAGTACCAACATCGACAGTCACATATTTAAATAGATTAAATCTTATTTCAGCATAGTGCCGTACATGGCGCATGTGTTCTCTCTCTCTCTCTCTCACACACACACACACACACACACACACGACAACTGTGACCATGGACAGTCTGTGAGCAGCTCCTCCTCGTCTGTGTGTTTGTTTTTCAACACAACATTATCAATCACAGAGACCCAACATTTCTGATAGAGCTAGGCTAACGCTAGAATACAGCTGCTGCTGAGGTGAGTGCGCTGTTTATAGCATGGATGTTGCTCTGCAAGTGGACAAAGTTAAATACCAGTTCATAAACTCTGATGCCGAATGTTTGCCCCCTCGTTCCAGGGGAATATCAAAAACACACTTGGATAGGAAAGATGATCAGTCTGATTATTGATCAGAATGATTCATTGTATTTAACACTGTCTTCCACTTGAAATAACTTTATACTTCAGCTCCACTTCAGTTCGAGGGCCACTACTGTACTGCTTACTTGATAACTTCAGTTATTAATATATAAATGAAGTGATTTATTATGATGGCTTCAGATCCAATAAAACTTTACTGATCCCAAGGGGAAAATTCACAAGCTGCATAGTGATATATAAAGCAGTTAAAAATAGCTCCACCTTTATGAACTGCAACATTCAAGGGATGAACACACTGATCTAATGATATAGATTGTACTGATACAGTCCATTGTACATATAGAATATTTATGATTATCACTTTTACTAGCATATTAATATATGATGGTGCAACACTTAACAGGGGCCAGTTTTCTACATTTGGGAATAAAGATCAATATATCTGTTATGGTAACTACGAGCTTAGCTTAGCATAAAGACTGGAGATGGGGGAATGTGTAGCCTGGCTCTGTCAACAGGTGACAATCTGCCTACCAGCACCCTTTAAATGTCTCGCTTGTTTAATCAGCGCAAAAACTGAAATTTTACAGGGGATTTATGTGCTGGGGACGTCTTGACATTGAGCAGTGAGTTTCTGGAGTCTTGATGGCACTGATTAAACAAATGAGCTATAACATGTTAATGAGCTTTAAAGGTTCTTGTAGTGGATTTTGTTACCTATGGACAGAGCCAGGCTAGCTGTTCCCCTGAGCTTATGCTATGCTAAGCTAACATGCTGCTGGATGTAGTTTCAAATCAACCAGACATAAGAGGTATATATCAGTCTTATGTCCTAACTCTCCACTAAAAAGTGAATGAGCAAATTTCCCAAAGCACAAACTGGACCAGAGGCTTACAGGGATCTTGTTAGGGTGCTGCTCACGGATCTGCTGGACCTCTTTGCACCGGTCAGCTGTGGGTGGCAAAATAGACACGGTCATAAACATGAAGCATGACTCAGAAAAACACTTTCAGCTCATCTTCACCAGATGTAAAGAGTCAGGTAAGTTCTCCTTACCTGACTCCAAAGGAGAGCTGCACAAGAATTCCTATATGCCTAGATTGTTTATGCATAAATGGCAAATAAAAATCTTGAATCCTAAAGCTGTGATTCCTTTGCTAATGTGAACAGTCTGGTTTTGGCTTTTTTCAATTCAAAAGAGAAGAGTAGCCAATGAAAACATTCCATTAAATATACCGTCTCCATTTTAGGACGAAGGACAAACAAGCATAGTTATCAGTGTCTCTGATCTGTGGACATTATTGTGCTCTGTAACCCTCCTCCTCCTGGTCTTCTGCATGTTTTAATTTGTGGTGTAGTGCATGAATGCAGCTTCTCATCAGTTAAGTAACTCAAACCCTGATACTAAGCAGACTAACATGTCTGAGTATCTTTACCCTTGTTAATCTGTAACTGCTCATAACCTTTTTATTGGCTAAGTAAAGCAATGTGGACTCAATTTACACAATCTGTGTGAATGTTGCTTTTTATTCTTGCCCCCCTCTTTCCAATACATACTTGAACTTTGTGTTTTTGCTGCCTCATTATATAACTTAACCTCCCCCCCCTCTAATAGCCTTCTGCCTATTTAAAAAAACAAACAAACAAATAAACCCAACACTAGCAGGTTTAAAAGCTCAGACTGCATTAAAGAGCACCAGTGATGTGTGAACGCTTCCTTTGTTTAGGCCAGGGAAGGTTTTTCACTCCCAGCTATAGGAGCAGTTGGTGCTAACTGCGACAATACAAGGGTATTTATTAAGATACCGTTGGGCTGGTGTGCACATGACGTTTGAAAGCCATCAAAATAACCTGCCACTAAAAAAAGACCCAAATCATAGTTTTTCATCCTGTGTCCCAAATTTATCAAATATATTGGACTTCAGATGCACCAGAAGCTCACTGGGAAAATACTATGACCCCATTTTTGTGCATTGCAGTTTTAATGCTTTGTTGCCTTGTATGTAACTTTATTTTAAGACTAAATGTTCTTTCTGGCTTTTGACTCCTCACCTGACTCCAAAGGAGAGCTGCACAATAACTCCTATATGCCTAGACTGTCTATTTATGCATAAATGGAAAATAAAAATCTTGACTTGGCATTATCAATAAGTCCTTCAACAATTAGAGAAAAAATGCCTCTAAATACTAATTAAATTAGATTCCCCAATTTGCTAATTGAACATCTGTTCACTCTAACATATTTTCTTGTTGCTTAATACCAGAATAATGTCAGTCAGTGAGGTACAAACAGCAGTGAAACATAAAACAGGTTAATGAGGCCATCTAGTTACGTCACAGATTTCTAACTATGAGAATGTCTTAGGGTTATAAACAAATACAATGACACGGCAAATGGAGAATGTTTCCGTCCTGACTGATTCTGTTGCTTACTCCACAATTCACTGTATGCTAAGATTATGCAATGGGCGGACTATGGGCTCCTCCCTACCAGCATAAGGGCCGTGGTTCGGCATCAAATTACAACATAAGTGTCTCAACACGTGTGCGAGGATAATGTGTCAGCAGATGTTGTTTTCCTTGACGCAAACGCCAAATGTTAGCTGCTTAGTCGGTCCACCTAGCTTATACAGTTGTGTAAAAGCTGGTAAGGGCAGGCCAAGCTATCTCCACGGCTTGTGAAGCCAGTGCAACAGTGACCGAGGTGGCCTTTGAGCATGATCAGCAACAGTAAACCTGCTGGACGAAAATATAACGTTAGGCGGTCAATGACCTTTTAGATAAAAATCGT